CGATATAACGAAACCAAGAGAGCGATAGGTCGATAACCCCCTGCAGGTTTCTGGAGCAACACGATATGCATATGCTGAAGATACCCAGGCCAGGAAGACCACACTTCACACATATGAAACATATATCCCATGAAAGATAAAGCCCCATTCGACACCAGGGCCCAGTGCTTGGGCCTCCATAAGTCAGCACCTACAGCAGTCCTGGCAGGAAAGGCCTTGGCGGCCTTGCGGAGCTCCTGGATGCCCATTGGCGGAAGCCGAGGACCCAAATCACGAAGCTGCGCCAAGTCGTGCTGCAGCTCGTCCAGAGAGACTGGCGAAGACCCACCGTCCCATATGCCTTCCCAAAACTCCCGCTGAACGTTGGCCACATCATCTGCGTGGCTCGAAGGGCCCAGGGAAGTGTGGACCTGGGACAACTGCCACCCGCGAGGTTTCGTCCAGCAATGTACAGGCTTAGAACGGCTGCTCAGGCAATCCCTGAGCCATTTGACAAACCCCTGACCTCGTGCCTGGCCCAGCCGCCGCTCCTCAGCAGCAGCAAGATTGGACAGGGTGACGCAGAGGGCGCGGAGGAAGGCCACGTGGTACACGGACGGCTGCGCGAAGAAGCACGTGATGTAGTAGACGACCTCCTGAACCAAACTGGCGCCGAGCGCCGATGTGAGCCGCCGCAGCCGACCCTGACCACCAACGAAATCAATGAGCGGCTGCCAGATCATGTTATGCTGCGGTAAGGGCGTACACCCGTGCTTGGCCACTACGTGCGTGAGGTCTTCCAACCGATGCTGCAGGGCCCGAACAGCACGAGAATGAGTGGTGCCAGCAGGTTGCTGGCTGCCCAGAGCACCTCCCGCCGTGGTCTTGCGGTAGGTGACCTGGCCTCCACGGCCTTGGTACTTGCCGTGCTCTGAGCAATCGAACAGCGTAGCCAGCTCCTTCTCGGCTCCTGCGTACAGCTGTTGACACAGAGAATCCAAACGTCCCGCACGCGACCTGTCATCACCAGGCCCGAGTTGAGCATCCTGGCGCATCCTATCCACCCAGTCAATGCCAGAGTCGCCCAGGGGAACGGCGTCTTCGTCATCATCGTCCGAGTTATGAGAGAGCAGAGGCTTGCGAGCTGGCTTACCAGGCAGAACACTTGGGCCCTGCAGCTGCACAAGTTGACGAGCTCGGGGCCGAGGTCCGACTTGAACTCGCATTGGAAAGTGAGGGCGAGGCGGATAATCTGCAACGCGTCGAGCATCGGTCATTTCCGCCGCAAGAGCATCACTGGCGAGCCAGTAGTCCAGGAAAGTATAAGTGCCATTTGCCGCAACCCTATGAGATCCAAGCGGGGCGACAATGAGATGGCCGTCAATGCGCTCCACGAAAGCACTGTCGCTCAGCACCTGAGGGGAGACGTTCCAGTCACCACCGATGACGTATGGGGCGCGATAATATCTGAGTGCCTTGCCCAGCTGCTCGAGCCGAGGTATATTGTCGCCCGTGAGTCCAGGACCCTGTTCGAGATAAATACTGCCTGCAACAAACCCTCCCCGAGGACCTGTATGGACGTAAACTGCCACGCACCACGACTTTACGAGCACATGATCGCGTACGCCAGGAAGAGCGTCCAGGAAGGTCGTGCCGACGTAGTGCCGAACGAACAAGCCAACTCCAGCCATCGGCTGACCCGTAGGGCCAGTCTTACAATCACTGATAAAGGCCTTCCACCCGTTGCGCTGGCACCATTCTTCTGCCTGCAGCCGCTGGTCCCCGCGAACGTGAAGCTCCTGAGACGCGACTATAAGCGCACCAGCGGCACCTTCCTCAAGAAAGCATCTGAGCCTAGTCCAACCATTGGCGTTGTAGGTGACGAAGGCAAGCGGCTTCCGTCTGCCCCGTCTGGGCGCCCGTCGAGCAGATGTTGGAAAATGAAGTCGATCAGCTGCTGGCCGTGATAGCCTCACGCCGCTCACAGTAGTAGCCGAGCTCTGATTCAATTGAACTGCCTGTGGATAAGATGGCCTCTCGCCGCTCAAACCACTGGAAGCCGTCATAGTAGTATCTGCACGCTGCACTCCCGAAGGTCGGTACGACCCGCCCCTCCGTGCCCCCCGATGCGAGGACGACGAGCCATGCGTGCCGACGGGACTAGGTCCCGAAGGTCGGTACGACTCGCCACCACGTGCCCCAGAGAGCTGAGGTGACGAGCCATGCGTGCCGACGGGAGTAGGTGCCACCACGGGTAGTTCAGACAGGGGCAGATCGTCCAGAGAACAAACCTGATTGTTGAACAGCCGTGGCATCACGAAGTATACGAAATAATCAATCGCTTTCCTCCATCGCGGCCTCAGCGGCAGCGGCATCCTGTGCCTCCTGCATCTCGAGGAGGGGTGCCCATGGGTGTGCCTGCGGAGTGCCTGGGGCAGCGACGGTGGCTTGAACTGCGGACTGCAACTGCGCCAGCTGGTCCTGTAGAGTCTGAAGCATGGTCGGAGAGTTGCCTGCAAGTATCGCCGCAGAAGCACCTGCCACCACCGTCTGGAGTCGGCCCATGGCTTCCTGTACGGATAGTGCATCTGATCCAGCAGGTTGGGCGGGGGCAGCGAGTACGGCTGTCCTGGCCAGGTGCACCTCGGACTGGATGTGCTGCAACTCCGTGGTGGCCTGGACGAGCGCCGTCTTCTTGTCACCAAGCTTGGTTTCCAGCTCCGCGACTGCTTTGGTAAGTTCATCCACCTCTTTGGATTTGGCGGTGTGCCTGTCCAAAGATCGACGAAGCATATCGTCTGGAGTCCGATGAGCTTGCTCCCGCTCCTCGGCCACTTGTAAATCCCGTCGAGCTTGTTGGACAACTGGGGCGTCGTCACCCAGCCCGCACTTGCGCAAGGCCACCAATGCTCGCCGTGCCTGGGCAACTCCATCAGCGGGGCTGGATGCACCGCTGCTGTCACCGTCAGGTTTCTTATCCTTGTCCTTTCCTCCAGAATCTCGGGGACGGGAGGGAGGTCTGCGTGAAGGTGGTCGCTTCCGTGGCACAAAGCTGGGATCAGGTACACCACGGCGGTCGCGACCGCATTGATAGCAATTATCGTTGCTGGCGTAGTTGCCCTCGAAGCCGCACTGGCGTGTCGCCACGCATGCCCATCTCGGCTCCTTCTGGACTTCTGGCCTTCGACCTCGTCGGGCGCCATTCCCGTCAGCGTCGGGGGCGGCACCGCGCATGAGAGGCTCCTGAGACCCGTGATGCTTATTCAGTAATGCCCGCAGCTTGGCAATCTTCAAGAAGCGCCTGGCGTACGCACGAGCCCGCCGACGGGCCCGATGCCAGGCAGGTGAGCGAGATCGCCCTGCGGGTATGATGTATGTCGACCCGTGCGTGGGCACGCACGAGCCTGGGGCGGGCAGTGCAGTATCTGGCAGTGCAGGAAAACGCACCGCAGGGAAATGTCTCCCACGGCCTAAGCCCACGCCTGGAGGAGGAGGAGGAGGAGGAGGAGGAGGAGGAGGAGGAGCGAGGCAGGAGGAGGAGGAGGAGGAGGAGGAGGAGGCGGAGGGAGGAGGAGGGAGAGGAGGGAGGAGGAGGAGGGAGGAGGACGGAGTGCTTGGAGGAGAGGGCGGCCAGAGAGCACGCGGGTTGTTGAGGAGGAGAAGGAGAAGGAGGGTGAGGAGGGGAGGGGAGGAGGAGGAGGAGGAGGAGGAGGAGGGAGGAGGAGGAAGGAGGAGGAGGAGTGAGGAGGAGGAGGAGGAGGAGGAGGGAGGAGAGGAGGAGGAGAGGAGGAGGAGGAGGAGGAGAGGAGGAGGAGAGGAGAGGAGGAGGAGGAGGAGGAGGAGGAGGAGAGGAGGAGGAGGAGGAGGAGGGAGGCGGAGGAGGAGGAGCTTGAAAAGCAGCAGCCCCAAAGAGCACGCGAGCCGGCGGGTTGAGGAGGAACAGGAGCAGGAGGGGGAGGAGGAGGAGGAGGAGGAGAGGAGGAGAGGAGGAGGAGGAGGAGGAGGAGGAGGAGGACGTCCGCGCCCGCAGTGAAAGCAGCCCCAAAGAGCACGCGGGTGAGGAGGAGCAGGAGCAAGAGCGGGAGGAGGAGGAGGAGGAGGAGGAGGAGGAGGAGGAGGAGGAGGAGGAGGAGGAGGAGGAGGAGGAGGCAACGACGTCGACGACGGCCGCGCCATCCAGATGGCACGCGCGCGCAGTCCTGGAAGGATGCATGACTGGGGTGCAGGGAGCAAGGGGCGAGGTGGGGGTGAACACAGACGAAAGGTGAGTGGTAGGGAGGAGGGGGGGAAGTGACGGAGGAGGAATTGGATAGGGGGGAATGGCGGAGTCATCACATGAGCGAGAAGATTGAGACAGCGCGCGAGAAGGAGATTCTGTGGTTTCTTGACAGCTTTCTTCTCTTCCCTCGTCCTCCCTTGGTGATTCCGTTTTTCTTTCTTTCTTTTGTTTCTGTCTGTCTCTCTGTCTCTCTCTCTCTCTTTCTTCTTTTTGTTTGTTTTCTCTCCCTCCTTCTATCTTACTATGTTTGGTAACGTTATGTACATATAGGTATAATGTCGGAGTTTTTGCCCCCTGGTCTCCTCCGGCACACAGTGACAACTGGGACCACCCGTCGGTAATCTATTTTTAAGTTTTCCGGCCTACTGGGGACCGTTCCACCCCCGAGAGCGCTCTAAGATGGCCCAGGCGGTTCAAGAAGCCACCAAGACAACTCGAGAGCGCCCTCAGAGCGACCCAAGACCGCCCACGATGCCCTCAAAAGGCCACCCATACATTTGAGAGGCCCCCGACCAAAATGAATCTATGTTCCTATAGTTTATGCGAGATTTTAGTGTTCGCGCTTTTCCTAGCTTCAGACCGCCCATGACGACACAAGACGACAAAGGCTCGCCTCCATAGCCATTTTGGCTCAAGTCGAATTGTGCTTGCCGAATTTTACCACTGCCGGAGGCGCTCCTTGTCCAAAGCAGGGTTCGCGATCATGCCGGAGCTCATGTCAATCGTTAAGACCCCGAAGGAGGCTTTCATGGGCATGGTGGACAAGGGCGTTGGGATGGGCGGCGATTCGTCCATCAAGATCTTCCACCAGTCGTTCTACGCGGGTTGCTACATTGGCTTCGGAGGTATGCTGTCGATGGTGGTGGCTGGCGGGCTGGACAGCGCGGCACAGGACAACCCGACCATTCAGACTTTTGTTTTCGCTGCGCTCTTCCCTGTGAACCTGCTGCTCATCCTCCTCACAGGTGGGGTGCTGATCACAGGCACAGCGGCGACCGTGCCTGCCGCGGTGTTTGAGGGCAAGCTGCACAGGATGCAGATCCTGAGGACGTTCGCGCTGGCTTGGGTGGGCAATCTGCTTGGCGCCCTGCTCTTCGCTGGCTTCGTCACAGCCTGCAACCTGAACGTTGGCCTGACTGCCTCGCTTGCCCGCAAGGTTGCGGAGAAGAAGATCAAGGAAAACTTCGGGGTCACCTTCCTCAAGGGAATCGGGTGTAACTGGCTGGTGTGCATGGCGGTGTTTCTGCAGGGCCAGGCGCAGGACATGGTTGGCAAGATGGTGGGCATCTGGTTCCCCATCTCTTGCTTCGTGGCCATTGGCTTTGAGCATATCCCAGCCAACATGTTCATGATCCCCATGGGAATGATGGCCGGCGCAGACGTGTCCGTGCTGGACTGCCTGTGGAAGAATTTCATCCCGGTGACCCTTGGGAACATCTTCGCAGGTTCCATCTTCGTGGGCGGTGGTTACTCTTTCGCCTTCGGCCGGCTGGGTAGCTCGCCGATGTTCAATATGCCCGCGAAGGAGCAGGGCTCGCCTAAGGATCAGAAGCCCACAAGCGATGCGCCCGCGATTCCACCTGAGGCTCAGGGCTTGTGAGTTCGCAGCCGGGCTGAGGGACCTCAGGGTCACATTCTCGCCGTCTCTCAACTACCCAAGATGTCATCAGAAATGGATGGGGGTCACCCGCGGCGGCAAACTTGGTTAGACCGTGCGGCGTAACTTTTTTCAAAGAATATCTAGATCGTGCAGAGTACAGCTCATGTGCCAGGACAGCTGAACGGCTGAGCCTTTCAAGCAGTTCTTCTGTGGCAGCCTGGGCCCCTCGCCTTATTTCTTCTTGGCAGCAATGTCTGCTGGGCAGGGTCAACCAGGTCGTGCTGCATCCGCGGCGGCGAACTTTGTTAACCCGTGCAGATTATAAATTATCGGCCAGGATAGCTGAACGGTCTCAGCGTTCCACGTACGTTTTCAGCGGCAGCCTGGGCCCTGCGCCTTAATTTCTCCGTTGCAGCGATGTCTGCGATGCAGGGTCGACCAGGTCATGCTGCTCCTCGCGGTACTTATCCTAGTATCTGAGTGAATTCAGTCGCTGTGCCAGAGCGTTGGCCGCATGTTCGAAATACTGCGCATATGCCCACAACACAACGAAAAATGACAAACACTCGCCACGAGACGGCCCAAGTGGCCCCGAAGAGCGCCCCAGGACGCGCCAGAAGGCCCCAGGACGGCCCAAGAGGCTCCCCCAACAGGCCCCAGACTCCCCCAACAGACCCCCCAGATGGGGCCCAGAGACGCCGACATCGCCAGCTGGTCCCCAAGAGGCCCCCCAGACGCCCCAACATGCTCGAACAAATCCTCTCAGAGGCCGCCCGAGACCTCCAACGTTCTTCCAAGAGGCCCCCAGGAGGCGTCCCAAGAGACCCAAGAAGCTTTTCAAAACTCATGGCGTCCACGTCATTCGCGATGGTCCTGGAGAGGCTTCGGGATCATCGATTCGGATCTCGGGTATGTCCCATGTTCCCATTCTTCTCGGGAAATGTCTTGGACTCGGGGAGCGTGCAGAGTTAACTAATCGTCTACCTTCTGCTGGCAAGTGCCTCCAAGAGAATGTGCGATACGGATTGTCGTCGCTAGAAATTCTGGGATTCCTGGGGGGTCACGTCCGGGCGGAGAAGCCAGATCCCCGCGGCGATTGTTCAGCTTGCCGCCCTGATTTCGCTGACTGTCTGGGATGTCGTCGCTACAAATTATGGGATTCCTGGGGGGTCACGTCCGGGCGGAGAAGCCAGATCCCCGCGGAGATTGTTCAGCTTGCCGTCCTGATTTCGCTGACTGTCTGGGAAAAGACATGACTCAAAGTGCCCCTGCCGGTCAGTCGCTGGAAGTTGGCGAGGGCTTCATTGGGGCATATACGCGGTTCGGTCGAGAGCTCAGAAACACACTTGCACACTTATGGCCCTGCTGATCCTTCGAGACGTCCCGGAGGGCCCACTTGAATTCTAGACGCTTCGCGTATCCCCACCAGCCCGTCCAGAAACGACGCCCAGGCGAGTAGAGGGTCGTCCTGAGGGGCTTTTCGGCGTCTTGGGTGCATCGGGGGGGCCTCTGTGGGCCGTTCGGGATCCTCTTTGGGGCCTCCTGGGGGCCTCTTGGGGCCTCTTGGGGCCATCTTGGGGCCTTTGGGGGCCTCCTGGGCGCTTCTTAGGGCCTCCTGGGCGCTTCTTGGGTGCCTCTGGGG